GAGAGAGAGAGAGAGAAGAAAGGGGGTGGGGAGTGAAAAGTGCCACAGAATTGCTCAACATGTTTGAACCCCATAGGCCCAAGTAACTTACAGACATTGTCATGAGGGACAAAACATTGATTACCTCTTTTTTTAGAATTCCATCTTAGCGGCTGCATTGTATGGGAATAGATTTTAAAAGGAGACAGGTCTGTCGTTTTGTGTCCAGGATTCCAAAGCAGAAAGAGGCTTTTGATGTCTTTTCCAATTACAGGGATCCTTTTGTGGTTTGTATCATGCCACATAATACGATTATGACTCCTTTTACTATGTGCAAAATGTACAATCCCGGCTGAATAATAATGTTGATGAGCCGAGATCGAAGATTGAAACCTCTCACGCAATGCTCTTCCCCAACAATGCATCTTCCCACAGATCAACGGTCACACCACAACTCCGTGTATACAAGTGTAAGTTGTCCAAGTTTTGCCTCATCCTGCCTACACTCCTGGCTTTGCTTCTGAATATTTCCCATTTCGAAAGATAAGTTTGCTGGACGAACGTTTGAACACATTTAAAACTTTTTAAAAGCCGTAAAGTTAGAGCTGCAAAGCATACCGGAAGCTAGAGCTAACAACTAACAACCACGGTGCCTTCCGGAAGTGGCTGTGGATGATAAAATCCTGCAGACAAAGTCGAGAAGAATAATTATTTCAAGGGACTGTGAAGATTTCAGGTCCATAGCATTAAAAGTTTTTGAGATACTTTAGAACTTTCATTACTTTTTTATGTACTCTGATACATGTACAAACACAACACAAGTGTGTCTGTATGTGTGAGTTTGTGTGTGTGCGTGTGTGAGTGTGTGTGTGTGTGTGTGTGTGTGTGTGTGTGTGTGTGTGTGTGTGTGTGTGTGTGTTTGCTTGTTGTTTGTGTGCGGGTTGTAGAGTGTGAACACACTCTTTTACGGATGCGTTTACAGCAAGACATTTTGACTCTTTATATATTCTCCACAACGCCTGGGAAACAGAACCACATTACAACATTTGTCATCTGACAGCTTTGTTTTCAGTCTCTCTATGTCAGGGGTCAACGAACCGTTGTCAAAGTGGACCGGATAACTAGACAATACTAGATCCGCGCCGGACGGGCCGTATTATCATAAATTTTCTTTCTTCCTTTCTTATTCTTAAAGCGTTGTTCGTTTACTGCATGATGTAGCCTTCTAAAAACGACGTCCATTCTGTTTTAATAATAATA